GCCCTGGAGCTGCGAGGTCGGGTGACGCCCCTGGCCCAGGAGCTGATGGACCGGCTGACCCAGGACGCCGAGACCCTGCGTCAGCGGCTGATGGAGGACCTGCAGGCCATGAGCGGGCAGCTGGGGCCCTTCGCGGACGAACTGGGCATCCAGGTGCGCGCCGGCGTGGACGAGCTGCGCCAGGGCCTGGCGCCCTACGCCGACGGGCTGCGCGACTCGCTGGGCCAGAACGCGGAGGACCTGCGGCGGGCGCTGCAGGAGCGGAGCGCGGAGCTGCAGGGGCGCCTGGAGGGGGGCGTGGAGGAGCTGCGCGCCCGCCTCAGCCCCCACGCCGACGAGCTGCGCGCCCGGATCGAGCAGCGCGTGCAGGAGTTCCGCAGCGGCATGGCGCCCTACGCCCGCAGCCTGCAGGAGCGCCTGGCCCAGAGCCTGGCGCCCTACGCCGAGGACCTGCGCGGCCGGCTGGACCCCTACGCCCAGGACCTGCGGGCCCAGCTCTCCTCCCTCTGGGACTCCTTCCAGAAGAGCTTCTAGATCGGATCGCCCCCCTCCACTGATCTCTCCCGCACCCCGGACCCGCGCACTTCCCGCCACACAGACCACCACCACCACCCCCGCTCGGAGGGTGCCGATGGTTTGCTCCGCTGGACGCACCCAGGCCTGCCCCTGGGGTCGGAGCGTACCATGGCCCGGGGAGGGGGTGTGTGAGCTGTCTTCAGGAGCCCGGCTGTAAGACGAGGAGGCGCCGAGCTTCCCCTTCCCACAATCCCTCTCTCCGCTGACCGTCCCCCATCACACAGCACAGCCTGGCTCGGGGTTCGAGCAGGGCAAGAGTGTGGGGGGTCTCCCCTGTGTGTCTTACTCTGTACTGTAACATTGTGCTGCTTTCCTCCTTAATTTATGCGAATAAAGAGTGAAAAAATGAGAAAACCCCAGTGTACTGTATGATCTTTTTCTTTTCTCAAAAGGTTTTTCTTTTTGTAACAAAAGCAAAAGAACGACCTTTTTTTGTAAGCAGAGTAACCCAAGCCCGGCCCACTACCCCCTCTCTTCCTCTGTTTTCACCTGTTTCTCCTCCCCAGTGTCCCCGTGCCTCTCTTTATCCTAGAGAAATTATCTAGAGCTGGGAGAGAGGATGGAGAGGGAGGAGAGAGAGGGAGAGAGAGTGGAGTTCAATCACAGACCAGGATAACACTGAATGGGACGAACACCCCATAGACACTCTGCGCATGGAGCTCTGTAAAAACAGCCTGTGTGCAAAGATAAACTCCTCACAGCGCATGCAGGACTAAATAAGGCCAATACCCAGTACTAACCAACTTACTCAAGACAGCTCTAGAATACTGGTTACCCCCGAGAGACAGTGACCAGAAATCTACCACCACCAGGCCCTGCTGAGCCCAGAGAAGAGCCCCTCAGCCAGCTGGTCCTGAGGCTCACGGACACCATCCAGGCCCAGGACAGCCCAGCTCCAGCAACACGAGTGAGACCCAAGCACTTCACAGCACAAGCCAAACAACACTGCCTCACCCACTGGGACACACACACACACTGGAATGCTACAGAACCCTAAACACACAACACACACCAGGAGAATACCTGAGCAGTGTAAGAAACAGCAAGGAGAAACAGACCCTGAGGAAGGACATGCTCAGAGACCACAGCCTGGCCACAGAAACTGG